TCATTGATTAGCTCTAGTAGTTTTCTGGTAGCATCTTTAGGATTGTCTATGTATAGTATCATGTCATCTGCAAAGAGTGACAGCTTTACTTCTTCTTTTCCGATTTGGATTCCTTTTATTTCCTTTTCTTCTCTGATTGCTGTGGCTAAAACTTCCAAAACTATGTTGAATAAGAGTGGTGAGAGTGTGCAACCTTGTCTTGTTCCTGATCTTAGTGGAGATGCATTCAGTTTTTCACCATTGAGGGCGATGTTGGCTGTGGGTTTGTCATATATGGCCTTTATTATGTTGAGGAAAGTTCCCTCTATGCCTACTTTCTGCAGGGTTTTTACCATAAATTGGTGTTGAATTTTGTCGAAAGCTTTCTCTGCATCTGTTGAGACGATCATATGTTTTTTCTCCTTCAATTTGTTAATATGGTGTATCATGTTGATTGATTTGCATATATTCAAGAATCCTTGCATTCCTGGAATAAACCCAACCCCCTGTTGATCATGGTGTATGATCCTTTTAATGTGCTGTTGGATTCTGTTTGCTAGTATTTTGTTGAGGATTTTTGGCATCTATGTTCATCAGTGATATTGGCCTGTAGTTTTCTTTCTTTGTGACATCCTTGTATGATTTTGGTATCACGGTGATGGTGGCCTCATAGAATGGCTTTGGGAGTGTTCCTCCCGCTGCTATATTTTGGAAGAGTTTGAGAAGGATAGGTGTTACCTCTTCTCTAAATGTTTGATAGAATTCGCCTGTGAATTCTGGTCCTGGGCTTTTGTTTGTTGGAAGATTTTTAATCACAGTTTCAATTTCAGTGCTTGTGATTGGTCTGTGCATATTTTCTATTTCTTCCTGATTCAGTCTTGGCAGGTTGTGCATTTCTAAGAATTGATCCATTACTTCCAGGTTGTCCATTTTATTGGCATAGACTTGCTTGTAGTAATCTCTCATGATCTTTTGTATTTCTGCAGTGTCAGTTGTTGTTTCTCCCTTTTCATTTCTAATTCTATTGATTTGAGTCTTCTCCCTTTTTTTCTTGATGAGTTTGGCTAATGGTTATCTTTTTTGTTTATCTTCTCAAAGAACCAGCTTTTAGTTTTATTGATCTTTGCTGTCGTTTCCTTCATTACTTTCTGATCTGATCTTTATGATTTCTTTCCTTCTGCTAACTTTGGGGTTTTTGTTTGTTCTTCTTTCTCTAATTGCTTTAGGTGCAAGGTTAGGTTGTTTATTCAAGATGTTTCCTGTTTCTTAAGGTAGGATTGTATTGCTATAAACTTCCTTCTTAGAACTGCTTTTGCTGCATCCCATAGGTTTTGGGTCATCGTGTCTCCGTTGTCATTTGTTTCTAGGTATTTTTTGATTTCCTCTTTGATTTCTTCAGTGATCACTTCGTTATTAAGTACTGTATTGTTTAGCCTCCATGTGTTTGTATTTTTTACAGATCATTTCCTGTAATTGATATCTAGTCTCATAGCATTGTGGTCAGAAAAGATACTTGATACAATTTCAATTTTCTTAAATTTACCAAGGCTTGATTTGTGACCCAAGATATGATCTATCCTGGAGAATGTTCCATGAGCACTTGAGAAAAATGTGTATTCTGTTGTTTTGGATGGAATGTCCTATGAATATCAATTAAGTCCATCTTGTTTAATGTATCATTTAAAGCTTGTGTTTCCTTATTTATTTTCATTTTGGATGATCTGTCCATTGGTGAAAGTGGGGTGTTAAAGTCCCCTACTATGAATGTGTTACTGTCAATTTCCCCTTTTAAGGCTGTTAGTATTTGCCTTATGTATTGAGGTGCTCCTATGTTGGGTGCATAAATATTTACAATTGTTATATCTTCTTCTTGGATCGATCCCTTGATCATTATGTAGTGTCCTTCTTTGTCTCTTCTAATAGTCCTTATTTTAAAGTCTATTTTGTCTGATATGAGAATTGCTACTCCAGCTTTCTTTTGGTTTCCATTTGCATGAAATATCTTTTTCCATCCCCTCACTTTCAGTCTGTATGTGTCTCTAGGTCTGAAGTGGGTCTCTTGTAGACAGCATATATATGGATCTTGTTTTTGTATCCATTCAGCCAATCTGTGTCTTTTGGTGGGAGCTTTTAATCCATTTACATTTAAGGTAATTATCGATATGTATGTTCCTATTCCCATTTTCTTAATTGTTTTGGGTTTATTATTGTATGTCTTTTCCTTCTCTTGTGTTTCTTGCCTAGAGAAGTTCCTTTAGCATTTGTTTTAAAGCTGGTTTGGAGGTGCTGAATTCTCTTAAGTTTTGCTTGTCTGTAAAGGTTTTAATTTCTCCATCAAATCTGAATGAGATCCTTGCTGGCTAGAGTAATCTTGTTTGTAGGTTTTTCTCCTTCATCACTTTGAATATGTCCTGCCACTCCCTTCTGGCTTGCAGAGTTTCTGCTGAAAGATCAGCTGTTAACCTTATGGGGGTTCCCTTGTGTGTTATTTGTTGTTTTTCCCTTGTTGCTTTTAATATGTTTTCTTTGTGTTTAATTTTTGACAGTTTGATTAATATGTGTCTTGGTGTGTTTCTCCTTGGATTTATCCTGTATGGGACTCTCTGTGCTTCCTGGACTTGATTAACTATTTCCTTTCCCATATTAGGGAAGTTTTCAACTATGATCTCTTCAAATATTTTCTCAGTCCCTTTCTTTTTCTCTTCTTCTTCTGAAACCCCTATAATTCGAATGTTGGTGCGTTTAATGTTGTCCCAGAGGTCTCTGAGACTGTCCTCAGTTCTTTTCATTCTTTTTTTCTTTATTCTGCTCTGCAGTAGTTATTTCCACTATTTTATCTTGCAGGTCACTTATCCGTTCTTCTGCCTCAGTTATTCTGCTATTGATTCCTTCTAGAGAATTTTTAATTTCATTTATTGTGTTGTTCATTATTGTTTGTTTGCTCTTTTGTTCTTCTAGGTCCTTGTTAAACGTTTCTGTTATTTTCTCCATTTTATTTCCAAGATTTTGGATCATCTTTACTATCATTACTCTGAATTCTTTTTCAGGTGGACTGCCTATTTCCGCTTCATTTGTTAGGTCTGGTGGGTTTTTACCTTGCTCCTTCATCTGCTGTGTGTTTATCTTCTCATTTTGCCTACTTTACTGTGTTTGGGGTCTCCTTTTTGCAGACTGCAGGTTCATAGTTCCCGTTGTTTTTGGTGTCTGTCCACAGTGGGTAAGGTTGGTTCATTGGTTTGTGTAAGCTTCCTGGTGGAGGGGACTGGTCACTGTGTTCTGGTGGATGAGGCTGGATCTTGTCTTTCTGGTGGGCAGTACTGCATCTGGTAGTGTGTTTTGGGGTGTCTGTGGACTTATTATGATTTTAGGCAGCTCTCTGCTAATGGGTGGGGTTGTGTGCCTGTCTTGCTAGTTGTTTGGCATAGGGTGTCCAGCACTGTAGCTTGCTGGTCGTTGAGTGAAGCTGGGTGCTGGTGTTGAGACGGAGGTCTCTGGGAGATTTTCGCTGTTTGATATTATGTGGAGCTGGGAGGTGTCTTGTGGACCAGTGTCCTGAAGTTGGCTCTCCCTCCTCAGAGGCACAGCACTGACTCCTGGCTGCAGCACCAAGAACCTTTCATCCACACGGCTCAGAATAAAAGTGAGAAAAAGCAGAAAGAAAGAGGATAAAAGAAAATAAAATTAAGATAAAATAAAATAAAGTTATTAAAATAAAAAATAATTATTAAGAAAAAAAATTTTTAAAGAAAAAGAAACAACGGACGGATAGAACCCTAGCACACATGGTGAAAGCAAAGCTATACAGACAAAGTCTCACACAGAAGCATACCACATACACACTCACAAAAAGAGGAAAAAATAATCTTGCTCTCAAAGTCCACCTCCTCAATTTGGGATGATTCGTTGTCTATTCATGTATTCCACAGATGCAGGGCACATCAAGCTGATGGTGGAGCTTTAATCCGCTGCTTCTGAGGCTGCTGGGAGAGATTTCCCTTTCTCTTCTTTGTTCGCACGGCTCCGGGGTTCAGCTTTGGATTTGGCCCCGCTTCTGCGTGTAGGTCGCTGGAGGGCGTCTGTTCTTCGCTCAGACAGGACGGTGTTTAAGGAGCAGCTGATTCGGGGGCTCTGGCTCACTCAGGCCAGGAGGAGGGAGGGGTGCGGATGTGGGGCGAGCCTGCGGCGGCAGAGGCCAGCGTGACGTTGCACCAGCCTGAGGCGTGCCGTGCGTTCTTCCGGGGAAGTGGTCCCTGGATCCCGGGACCCTGGCAGTGGCGGGCTGCACAAGCTCCCCGGAAGCGGGGTGTGGATAGTGCCCTGTGCTCGCACACAGGCTTCTTGGTGGCGGCAGCAGCAACCTTAGCGTCTCAGGGCCGTCTCTGGAGTCTGCGCCGTTAGCCACGGCTCACGCCCGTCTGTGGAGCTCCTTTAAACAGCGCTCTTAATCCCCTCTCCTCGCGCACCAGGAAACAGAGGGAAGAAAAAGTCTCTTGCCTCTTTGGCAGGTCCAGACTTTTCCCCGGACTCCCTCCCGGCTAGCCGTGGCGCACTAACCCCTTCAGGCTGTGTTCACGCCGCCAACCCCAGTCCTCACCCTTCGCTCCGACTGAAGCCCGAGCCTCAGCTCGCAGCCCCGCCCACCCTGGCGGGTGAGCAGACAAGCCTCTTGGGCTGGTGAGTGCCGGTCGGCACTGATCCTCTGTGCGGGAATCTCTCTGCTTTGCTCTCCGCACCCCTGTTGCTGTGCTCTCCTCCGCGGTCCCGAAGCTCCCCCCCTCTGCCACCCGCAGTCTCCGCCCGTGAAGGGGCTTCCTAGTGTGTGGAAAGCTTTCCTCCTTCACAGCTCCCTCCCACTGGTGCAGGTGCCGTCCCTATTCTTTTGTCTCTGTTTATTCTTTTTTCTTTTGCCCTACCCAGGTACGTGGGGGAGTTTCTTGCCTTTTGGGAGGTCTAAGGTCTTCTGCCAGCATTCAGTAGGTGTTCAGTAGGTGTTCTTTAGGAGTTGTTCCACGTGTAGATGTATTTCTGATGTATCTGTGGGGAGGAAGGTGATCTCCGCATCTTACTCTTCGGCCATCTTCCCGAGAGTCCTCTATATTAATTTTATTGTCATGTTTCCTTAGAAGAAAAGCATGCCTATTAGTAACAGGAGAAAATGATCATTTTGAAAACGGGGAAAGGAGTGCAGCTAACATCTCTACAGGATAGGCAAGGAAGCAAGGACAAGATGTGGTATGTTTGTACACAAGTGTATGGTACAATGAAAGACACGATGGTGTAGTCTGCTTATTTCAAGGACTTGAAAATCCACTCCCAATGGAATCAGATGGGCAGTTTGTTTAGGTGTGCTTTGGACAGCATTGAAGAAGTAGGTGGGACTCAAGCCTTGCAAAAAATTCTTCTGCCTCTTCCTGCTTGAATTCTGATTCTTTCACACAGAAAAAACATGACAGTGAAGCAGAGACACTGGCTACATTGATCTTGCTGGCACAGTGCCATGTCACCAGATCCATTAGCAACATCCATATGTGGCCTCACAGGATTGAAAGGAAACATTTCATTTTCAAGAAAAGTTCTTTAGTAGCGCTCAGTGTTAAAGTTGGATAATATCGTTTTATGTCCATCATTCTGGGGTCAAACCTAGGTGGAGGAGAGGTGCTACTCACTGCTTCTCCTCCCTCCCTCCCATCTTAGTGCAGGCAGCACCTGTCAACCATGATGGCTTTTCTGCTGAGTCCAGATTGCAGCACCAGAATCCATTCAACACAGGGAGCCCTAGAGCTACTACCAGTGGGTAGGTGTTGGTAAAAGACATGAAAACTTTTTTATTGTTTAATTGCCTGTCTCTCCTTACTCTATGTGCGAGGACCCTGAAATCTTGGTAGGATAAGGGAATTCTGCACATGCCCACAGCTAACCAGGGGCAGAGCAAGAAGTAGAAACTGGTTCTCCAGACTATAGTCCAGCATACACTTAACAGAACAAATCACATGTAAGGTCTGGTCATCATCGTGTCAGTGAAATAGGACAATGAAGAAGGAAACCAATTCCCTTCTGTTGGCTTTGAGCCTTTCCAGCATGGCTGGGAAATCTCAGGGCAGTAACCCTTCTCTAAGGTGCAGTAGGGAGTAATGATTTCTGGCTTGCTGGGCTGTATGAGCATGGAGCTTTACTCATGACGGTAGTGGATGGTGATTTTTTTTTGTACCTAATATTATGGGAGGTTGAAGAAAGAAAGGCAAACAATGTTGTAGTACTTAAATACCTGTAATGGATATGAGGGGGAAGGCAGCAAAGGAGTCTTACGGCATCTATGGGATCTAGTCCCCTTTCTGTGCAAGTCTGACGTCAGTGATGGAAAACACCTACATTTGAATCTGCGTTGCTATCACAGTATAGAAGCACAGACTGAGCACTTTTCTCTCAAAGGGGAAAATCGTGCTGATCGGGGGAGGAGTGTGGAAAATTTCTAATATATCTTGTTCACAAAAAGTGTCATTTTAGTGTCAGTTCCTATTTCTTTTAAAGCCATTAAAACCCGTCCATTGCAGTTGTAGTCAGGAAAGACAGACATCGTGATTTGTTCCTGACACCTTGGGGTACGTTTGCAGCATTGCACCCCTGGGAAATCACTGTAGGTGTGCAGTTCCTGTGACTGTTAAATGGAAGTGTGAATCTGATTCCCCACCTACACCCGGCAAACTTAGGCAGAAGATACCTTTGTTTTCTTAAGCATTTCAACTTACCTTAAGTGGAGCCTGTGAATTCTTTCCTTTGTACACAGCCTGGGGACTCTACCACACAGTTTATATCAGATGGAATGTTGCAGGGGAGGGGACAAAACCCAAAAGCACATGGGAATGGCTTCTCTATTTTCACATACAAATTCCTCTAACCCTAGGCAGAGTCACAGGCCCAGGGGAGGTATAGCTATTTGCAGGTAAGGGCTTACCTTTTAAAGTTCATACTGTCATTTGAGCCTATTTGGGGTGTTATAGACTATGAGGTCTATAAAAATAATTTTTGATCTCGCCAGTCAGCTTTTGATGACAGCAGTGACAATGAAGATGATGATGGTGAAAATGGCCTTTTACTGAGTGTTTACAGTAGCAAAGTGCTCTTCAAGGACCCTCACAGAGAATACGTTTATTTAGAGCTTATTTGACAGAAATTGTGCAGTGTACTCTTCAGGCGTCCTTCTTTGTCCTAGCCATCATTGTTTCTGTTTTTTTGGATGAGGAAACTGAGACTCAAAAAGGTGAGGCATTTTGCCCAAGATGGCGAGCAAAGCCAAAAGCCAGCTACACGTCTGTCTCATTTCAATCCCAAGTTCTTTGCATGACATCGCTAGATAAGCACAAGTCACTGCTAAAGAGGCCTCATTGCTTCTGTGTCAAGTCAAAGGTTATGGACCAGGGGTTACTTCACTAGTGATGAGGCCATAGCAGCCCCCCCTCCCCAGCCCCTTTGCTGAAGTTGGACAAAGGATACCAAAAACATGGGAGAAGCTGCTTCCCTGATGACCTCTCAAACCAATATGTACCAGTGATATTGGGTTGGCCAAAAAATTTGTTCGGGTTTTTCATAACATTGTACAGAAAACCCGAACGAACTTTTTGGCCAATCCAATACTATCAGACTCATTTGATTCACAACCACTGAATTCATCATAAATAATAGAAGATGACACATGAAGCAAATCACCTCTTTCTTCTCAAAGTCTCTCAATTTCCTCTACTTCGACATGACCCACTTTAGGCAAGATTTCCACTAATGAACACATAAGCTAGTTTCTGATTTCTAACTGTACATTAAAGCTCATCTAATGCAAAATTAACCTATCTTTATTACTGGAACTGCAGACTATTAAGATAGCATGCAGAGTTACCGAATTATAAATTTGGAAGAGATTTCCATGTGAGACACCTGTGACTTGAGAAGAGCTGTTCCCCTTCTTCTGAAATTGAGTTTTGAGTCAAGGACTCATGAAGGTGAAAAGGAATGGTGGGGGGACAAGGGAGCACCTCTTGAAGGTCACATACTTCAGTTTTTGGTCCCTGGGCAAACCCAATTTATCAGGGATCATTATCCCTGGGAGGTAATGACATTTGCAACACAAGGTATAAAAATAGTAATGCTCCATAAATGTTAGCTGTGATAAGCACTTCCTTTGCAATTTCTTATTAATCCTCAGGAAACCCTCGAAGATGAATAATATTCTCATCTCCATTGTTTGGATGGGGACATTGGGCTGAAAAGTCTTTGTTTGTATGGCTGTTTATTAACAGAGCAAGGCGTGAGGTCCCTTAGTTGCTGAACATCATGCTCTTATCTACTGTACTGTACTCCCATCCCTTATCTCCTGAAAGGGTTCAACGCCAGTAGAGAACACTGGCCAGCCTATATATGGGGTTATGATATATTTATGCTGATCCATGAAATTATAAAAATAGAATAAACACTGAGAGCAGCTGGTGGGATGTATGGAAGAAGTCAGTCTCAGTGGGGAAAAATGTCCCCCTACTACAAAAGAGTGTCATCATCTCAGTTCCTGGAATTGATGTATTAGCTGTGTCCTTGTGCTCACTTTGGCATTTTAAGGGGGGCTTTTAATTTCTTAGCTGGGAGTCGTGACATATTAAGGCATTGTTAACCATTCATAGCCTAAATTAATTAAACTACTCTTCTCAGCATTTGGGGCATGAAAGTAGCTATAGACGATATGTAAAGGAATGTGTTCTTTTAAATTTTTATTTATTTATTTATTTGGTTGCACTGGGTCTTAGCTGCGGCAGGCGGGCTCCTTAGTTGCAGCTCGCAGCCTCCTTCGTTGTGGCATGCAAACTCTTAGGTGCAGCATGCATGTAGGACCTAGTTCCCTGACTAGAGATCGAATCCAGGCCCCCTGCACTGGGAGCACGGAATCTTAACCACTGCACCACATGGGAAGTCCCGAGGAATGATATGTTCTGATAAACCTTTAGTTACAAAACTAGGCTGCAGGCCTGTTTCTGATAAATGATAGCTGTTGTTAGTAATGTATTATTATTACCATTTTATAAAAGAATATATATTTTAATATTAAAAAATAAGAAAGCACATGTAGGACAAAAAGGTGATAATAAAAATAAATTTAACTTCATAAATGATTCTTTATATATATTTTTTATTTTTCCGAGCTCTCTACCATCTCATATGAACACCTGTGTTTGGATACCAAATTTCTAAAACACATTTACAACTTTTTCATTGTAAAAGAGTTTAAATATATTCAAAATAAAATGAATAGAATAATGAACCTTCATAAACCTATTACCCAACTTAAATAATTATTAACATTCTGCTATATCATCTATACCTCCACTTACTCCTCATTCCTTCCACACAATTATTATTTATTCACAGTTTTTAATGTAATATATATATAAATGCAAAAATCTTACTGTGAAATTCTAACAAATGTATATGCCTGACTGTGTAACTCTCACACCTTTCATGTCTGTACCATGTCTTTCATGTTTTACCATGTTGCTCATGAAGTAGTTCATCGATTCTGGATCCTGAATGCCAAGGTTGGCAGTAAATTCTGAGAGGTCCCACCTGGAGTCACCAGAGAATGGGGAGCAGTTGCTTCTTTTTTCTGTCGTTCTACTAGAGATGGACATTATCGTGACCACTTTTACTAGTGGTCTTTGTAAAAGCCAAAGTATATAAAAGCAGAAAGATTAAGTAACTTGACAGAAAGAAACAGTAGAAGTAGAATAAGTGGTAGAAGCAGGCCTCAAACCCACATCTGTCTCATTCCAAAGCATGGGTTTCTTCTATAGCATGGTTTGCTAAAAGCCAATCCATCCCTTGTTCCTGGAACAGAGCCTAGCACGTAGTATTTGCTCAATCGACGTTTGTTAAAAGAATGGGAGAGAGGATCAGTCTTTGACGGATACAGAAATTGGATGACAAGGGTCCGTGACCTCCTTAATACTTTTGCCTGGCACTGGCAGAACTCAGTAGATTGATTATTTGTGAGCAAAACCTGCTTCTCATTGTAAACTGCACTTTCCCTGCCACCCTAGGCAGTACAGAACATCAGAACATGTGCCAGAAAAATGAATAGACTGTGTCCTGGGACTTCTCTGGCAAGTAATTCAGTACTGTGTGCCCTATAAGCACAGATGAATATCTGTCCATATAATCATAAATCAGGCAACCTCAACCCAATCATCTGGATGTCTTTCAAACAGTGACATCAGCTTGGACATACTCCAAGTCCTCTTTCTGTATGCTCTGTTATAAGATGGACTTTTGTTAAGCATTTGTTGGAGTATGATACATCCGTATGTACATCTATATCTACATCTGTATCTATTTCTGTGTGTGTGTTTGTGTGTATGGTGGGGAGAGACACTGACAAGTTGCGAGAAAGAAGGAAAAGAGAGAAAGAGGAGCAAAGAGGGAGAAAGGAAAGAGAAAAAGTAAAGAATGAGGGAAAACAGAGACTTGAAGGAGTCTGAGAAGGGAGTTATTGGCATATTCTCAGATGATTTAAGTTATTATTGTGGAGGTCATCTCCACCAGAGACTGCCAAGTCAATTGCACAGGGGCAGAGCAGGTGATGTGAGCTGAGTGAGGATGTGGGGAGCCCAGAGTACGTGCATTCTCTAAAAGGGACCATCTCTTCAACTCTGTTAATTGCACAATAAGCCGTAGAGATTCAGGGTTGTATGTGCATCTGATTTTCTAAGGAGAAACCAGGTATCCGGATGTTCGAATGAAATATCTTGCTTTCTGAAAGCT